CTTAAAAAATTAAATTGTGATCCTTGACCCCACATGCTAAAGAGAAAACCAGCTCCCATAACTTGTCCCTTGACCTTTCCATATATGAGGTATGCTACAAATGCTCTCCCCACACACAGTAAGTTCAATTTAATGTCCCATTTTTTTTATTTCTATACAGGCAGTGAGTGCCATCACTGCCTGACTAATCAGTTTCTTTGAAAGAAGCTACAAAAAAGGGACCAGAGAGATGGCTTAACAGGTAAGAACACTTGCTGTCTTAAAGAGTACATTGATTCTCTTCCCAGCATCCACATAGTTGTTTACAGCCATCAGCAACTCCAGTTACTCTGGATCCAGCCCCTGTCTTTTGTCCTCAAAAGGCCAAAATGTGTTTTGGCTGCGCTTAAATATATTTAGGCAAAAAAAAAAAACCTTAGGTGTAGAAGAGATTATTGATGGATTGATGATTAATGGTTAAGAACATTTTTGTAGCTATTCCAGTACTTCTTGCTCTTGAAGCCAGGTTCAGAGAACACACATGGTTGTTGACAAACATACATGAGTCCAGTTCCAGGGCATCTTCTGAACTACACATCAAACGCACACATGGTACACACTCATACATGCAGGTGCAACACATGAATGAATAAATCTGGGCCAGGTGGTGGGGCACATGCCTTTAATCCCAGCACTTAGGAGGCAGAGGCAGGTGGATCTTTGTGAGTTCGAGGCCAGCCTGGTCTACAGAGCAAGTTCCAGGACAGGCTCCAAAACTACAGAGAAACCCTGTCTCGAAAAACAAAACAGAAAAAGAATTGCAGATTTTATTTTAAAAATATTTGCCTACTTATATATTGTGTGTGTACATATGTGAGTGACTGTCAGAGGACAGCTCACAGGAGTCTAATTCCACCATGTGGTCCTCAGACTTAGCCGCACGTGTTCTCCATGCTCTGACCTGTCTTGCAGGCCCAAAACTGCAGGAGTTGTCAAGTATTGGGAGGGCATTTCTGGGAACAGAAGTGACAGAAGTTTGACAAAACATGCAACTTTTAGGACAAGATGGTAATTAGGTAGGAGGAATATATATATGTAACTACAGCTATTCTAAAGGGTTAACAAGCCCTCTGGCTGAACTTTTTGTCTTAGAGTTCCCCTGCAGATGACAACCAGTAGCAGCCTTGTACTAAGTTAAGGCCATAAAACATTGAGTTTAATTTTATACCCCCTGTATTAGTCAGGGATTCTCTAGAACAGAATCGATGAGGGAGGGGTTTATATATAAAGGGAATGTAGTAAAGAGGCTTGCAGGCTCTGATCCAGCTAGTCCAACAGTTACTGTCTACCAGTGGAAAGACCATATTTAGAGTACTGAAATGTGTTTCTGCTTTCAGTTGAGGAAGAATTGGGAATTAGAGATTTTTATTTTCCTCCAGAAGGAAGATTATATCAGTACTGATCAAGATATGGACTGGTTGTTGGTGACACCAGTTCTGGTTCTGCAAAGTAGTTGAAAGAAGTCCTCGTGATTTAGAGGGCAAGATGGATCTCAGATGATTCTCGTGCTCTGGGGTCTCTCACTTCATAAACAATTGCCCTTACGGGGCTTGGGGCATTGATGATTCTTCTGAGAATCCAGTGTTTTAAAGTAGTAACTTCTCTCTGCCTTCAGCTTTGAAAGGCAAAAAGATTAGAGATAGAATGGACAACCGTTCCTTTACAGATTAACCTGCCTGAGCTCAGGATTAGTCAGGTTAGCCAAAGTAAAAGACAGACACAGTGAAGGCAGAAGGCCTGACTTTTTGGCTGAAGATAGGAATCACTTCAAAGACAGATTCTAAGTGTCATGCAGTTTTATTGTTTGGCTGTAAACTTCCAGCTTTTTCCATTATATGAACTTCTGGAAAGGCAGAAATCAGTATTGAGAAGAAGCAGAAACAGTGGGTACCTCCTTGACCTGCTTCTGTGATGTTCTCAATGAAAGGGTACCTAAGGAACTTTTTAGGCTACTAGAAATGTTTTTGTTTTTCTGTGTTGGGCAGTAGCAAGGGTGTGTGTGTGTGTGTGTGTGTGTGTGTGTGTGTGTGTGTGTGTGTG